GAGCCAATTGAAGTCGGCATCGGGCCAGAAGTCGCAAAGGCACGACACAGTCCAAGCCCCGGTGGCTGCACTCTCCCAGGCGGCCACCAGGTCTTCAGTCGAGTCGTGTGCCAGGGTCTCAGGAAACGGCCCAAGTTCCATCAGGAACCTTTCGGGATCCATCAGGCGCCTGGGATGGAACCATTTAATCGGCTCCAGCTCCCTGCGGCGGGGGGAAGCGGCAGGAAAGTCCAAACAAAGGAGAGAATGATCTGTCCATGACAAGGGTTTAATGTCTAAATCCCCTCTACCAAGATCATTCAACCACTGACCAGAGATGAAAATCAAGTCCAGAGTGTGTCCCCCTGTGTGAGTGGGGCCCTGAACTAATTGGGTCAGGTCCATGGCCGCCATGGAAGCCATGAACTCCCGAGCTACCTCTGATGCCTCACCTGCAGATGGCAGGTTGAAATCCCCCATGACAACAAGTCTGGGGTATCAACCGCCACCCCGGCAATAACGTCAAGCAGCTCGGGCAGGGTCGCTGCCACGTGGCAGGGAGCCAGGTACGTAGTCAGCAAACCCATCTGCCTCCCACGGCCCCACTTCACGAGGAGGGATTCACATCCGGCTATCTGAGGAACAGTGGTCTCCCTCGGACTAAGACTTTCCCTAATAATCGCCACCACTCCCCCACCCCTCCCCTGAGCCCTTGGCTGGTGAAATGCACAGAAACCTGGTGGGCACATTTCGACGAGGGGAAATCCCCCCCTCGTGGCCCAACCAGGTCTCCGTAATGCCTGCCAGGTCTGCACCCCCCTCCAAAATAAGATCACAAATGATCACAAAATTTATGTTGCTATATGAGAGAATTGTTAACTGAGTTGTTAACATTTTATGATCTTTCATGCCACAGTTGTTAAGTTAGTAACACAGTTGTTAAGTGACTCTGTTTCCCATTGCTTTTGCCTGTCAGAAGGTCACAAAAGTTGATCACATGATTCTGGGACACTGCAATTATCATAAATCAGTTGCCAAGTATCCAAATTTTAATTATGTGACCATGGGGATGCTGCCACATTGTAAGTGTGAAAAACAATCATGTCACTTTTTCAGTACCATTGTAACTCTGAATCGTCACTAAATGAACTGTTGTAAATTGAAGACTACCTGTACTTGACTTTTCCAATGTAGATTTTGGGAAAGAGAAAAGGATGCATAGAAGTACCTGAGTCTGTTTCTCTAGCATTATATTTTTTCTGCAGTGCAGTTGAATGCCTTAAAAGCATTCTAGATAAATTAATTTGTAACTGTCCTGTCCTGACATGTGAATAATTTTGCATTTATTATGCTTGATTTGCAGCTAAGAAAATTATTTTACTCTAATGGAAAGACTTTGCCATACCCAACTTAAAACCTTGGAGAGAAGACATTTGGTTGTACTTTCTACATTTAAACAGTCCTTTTATCAATACTGTGGCATGTCTGATCAATATTTCTCAGTGTGTGCAAAGTTTAACCTGCATTTTAAGTCTTGAATCATTGTTCTATACATAGTCATTTCGTCATTATTTCCTGTTTAAAATTGGTCTTTCCTTCTTTTTATTCATCTCCGTGGATTTTGTTTTGTTCTGATACTGTTTTGATACTATATTTTTCCTGTTTATAGATCAAGAATGTTAAGCATTAGAGCCTGACAAGAGAATGACAAGTGAAGTCAAATATCATGATTATATGTTTCCTACACTCTGGATCCCACCAGCTATGTTTCTTGCTTCTTTTCTTGAAGAGAAGCAGAAACTCGGTTGTTCTCATTATATTAACTCTGCCTTTCTCTGTCTTTCCCTCATGGCAGCTGTAATTGCAAGAGATTGCTATTTAGTTATTTCTCCTGGGGCAGTCTGATCATCTTGGCCTTTAAGAAAGGTTGGATCTATAGCTCTGTGTTTGTGTGTGCATCTGAGGGAGATTAAAAAAAAAAGATGTGAAAAAATGTACAACTGCTAGAAGAATGCTGTGTCAAATCTGAAATACTTTCTTGATTTTGAAGTTTATGATTTGCATCATCCAAAGACTGGGAAAATAATATAAAGTCAGTTTTGGTCTCTTAATTGAAGACATGTTCTCTTATATGTTCCATAAATCTTCCAATTGAAGAACAGGTTACAGATCTCCTGACTTGTTTTTAAACTTTCCCTGTGACATAAGGAAATTTTGCAATTGGAATAGGCATTTTTTTAAAAAAACTCAGCAGCTTACAAAATAAGAATGCTTCCAGAATAAAGGCACATACTAAATATTATGCCAGTTGAAAGAAAAATCTCTCTAGGAATATCAATTTGTTGTGACACCCTTGTTTAAATAATGAGCACAAATACAAGCTGTGTGTTTTGTTTAAGCATTCTATTAATCTTTTATCACCTGTTATGAAAAGCAAGCAAATATAAAGTTGCTTCCTATAAAGGTATATGTCAGATGTGAATTAAATCATAGCAGCAATAAAAGAGCTATAAGGGATATTTGCCCGGATGGAGATTCATCAGAACTGTGACATTCCTTTATGATGCATTAACCTTAGCAGAATGCCAAATGGTTAAGGTAATAGTTTGCATGCTTACATTATATATTAGATAATGCATTAAGCACCTGATCCAGCATGAAATATCCAGGGCATTTTGGACCAAGCCGACTCGGATTCTGATTCCATAGCAGGGTAGTTGGTGATCTCATAAGAAAAGTCATGCTGTTTCAGAAAACAAATGGCAAAAATACCTCAAGCGAGACTTGTTTCATTTTGCACTCTGCCTCTGTTTCTTGCTCCCCTCCTGCTCTGCCTTTTGAGTAACTATTCCCATCCAGCAATGTGAGTTACAACTGGCCTAAGGCTTTCTATTATCTCTGTCCTTCCAATCATGGTCTTCTTTCTTGATTCCCTAGTGGATTCTATACTATTTTTGCAGAGTTCTACACTTGCCACTCTCTGTATCCATACATGTCCAGATGAAATCCTATTAGTTAGAAATGGCAATAAAAGGGCCATTAAGACCAAAAGACTTTTCTAAGGTCAGAAAACATCTTCTCAGAGAAAAATACCATCCTACAGACTAACTCAAGAATAAGGTCTTTGATTTCAGGATGGGCTTATTTCCAAGCATAGCAGCTGGCTGCTTAAAATTGTATTTTAACCATGTATCTTGCCCAGAGTCACTGCTGTGCGATGGAAAGCCATATAACCATGTTTAAATAAATAGATAATAGATAGATAGATAGATAGATAGATAGATAGATAGATAGATAGATATAAATTTTCCTTTTTACAGAAGGACATTTTGTTTTTTGCATTATACTACAACATTGGTAAAGTTTAGTTATTTATTAAATTTGTATGGCAGCCATCTCCCTATACAAAGGAACTCTCTTGCTGTATTTCCAAGTCCAGAAACCCAAAATAAGAACGTCAGAACACAAAATAAGATTTTTGTGCCCTGCCCTAACTTTGGAAATTTAAGGGACATTGTAGAGATTTGTTTAGATGAATGTAGATAAGCACCGTATGTTTTAGTGCTTATCTATCTATGGTTCACGTTTAAGCAAAAGGGGTAGCAAAATCGCTTTATACAGCATGATAGCGTATCCAAAGCAATGTTAAGAAATGTGTACACATGGCTTAATGGAATCCACAATAATTTAATCTAATATAAATACTGCAGTTTTTCTTGAATTTTGAACCTTTGAAATGTTGAGGTAAACTATAGACCTGCTTTAAAATCTACTTTATCATAGATTTGGGAACAATCTACAGTATTCTGTTGAATTTCTTTGATAATAGCTTTTTCGGGGAAATTAATTTAGACATAAAGATAAATATATATAAACTAGCACTAAGTTTGAAGACTCTTGAGATAGGCCAACTAAGAGGCAATACCTAGCTAACTTTTGATTTTGGAAGAACCTAAGCAAGATCAGACTCAATTTATAATCTGTGCAGCACTTTGGATTCAAAAGCAAAATAAGTGCTTCAGAGCATGTGTGAGTGGTCACATAGCCCCCAGCTGCAACTCCTTCAAGCAGCTGAATTTTTCCTGTACAATTTCCTGTACAGCTGCAATGTGTTCCTGGAAAAAAACCCAAACATTTGATTGAAGGAATTGGAGAAAGATGCAACATGCATTCCAAAGTACCTTTTTGTCTTCAAATCTGAAATACTGCAAAGACTTACTGGTAAATACCTACATGGGAGCCCATTAGCAGACACTCACAGTGTCAGCTAGACTAGAAAATTGGGGCGGTGGGGGGGAGTATCCCAAAAGAAAGCAATAGAAAATGATGTCTTTATTATTGCCAAGAAAAACTAAATGGATATAATTCACCAAAAACTTGAATCAAGTTTCAGTCAAATCAGACACTGGACTCAACAGAGATTTTATTCTATAAGTAGACAAGTAAAACTGCTGTCATTCCAAACAAAATGGTGACAAATTACTGTATTATATCATATAGAATATGACTGTTGGACTGATTATTAACATTAATAATTTTCTGGCCATATATAGATATAGATAGATAGATAGATAGATAGATAGATAGATAGATAGATAGATATCTTTAGCAGCCAGAAGAAAAAAAGCCCAGAAACTAGTGAATTGTGATTTCACTGAACTAGGGTTGCATAATATCTTGGTTTACGTATGTAGAACCTGGCTAAAGAAAAATACACATAAAACCTACGAAAAAGAAAGAAAAACAAATATATATATATTTCAAGTGTTGAATTTTCCTTTTATGAGAGGCATAATAAATATGAGAGGCATGATTTTCCCAATTTTCTGAGGGAGGTCAAGATAAGGGAGAGGCTAATTTGGGGCCTTAATTCAGTGGGGCAGCATTGCTTTTAGATACCTTACTGACAGTGATGAAATCTGGCCATTTCTATCCAGCTCGCGTGAACTGATAGCGCCAGTGGCAGGAGGCTCTGCCCACTCGCTGGGATGTCATTATGTTTCATTTTTTACCCACTGAAGGCTCTGCACATGCACAGAAGAGGCGCACACATGCATAGCGCATGGACACTCCCATTCCCGAACGAGTAGCAAGGGTAAGTGGATTTCACCCCTACTTACTAAGCTTTCTGGTTACAAATATTGTAAGAATAAGACTATCCCATATTATTTGGAAGGAAGCCCACTTAATCCCCCTTCATTATTCTGATACAGACTATCAGTAATTTGTACTAATGCAAGATGGACTGGGCTAATCCAGGACTTCTGCCTTACCTTTCATTGAAAATCTATCCAGCTGACTTTCACTTTGCTACTGATCAGGACAAATATGTACGATTAGCAATGTGAAATGAAAGCTGAATGTCTGATTGCTGGCTCAGGCACTTACTGGTATGGCAATCCACATGTTACATCTCAAACTGCTCAGGTTTGACCAGTTATGGTTTGGCAAGATTTCAGTCTGAGAGACAAGAAGTGGAAAGAGGACAGTTTTGTGGTTTCTTAAAATCATAAATTGTCTGAGGGACAATTATTTTAAAAATGTGGTGTCTCAAAGCATGCGCTCTGCAAAGGAGCTTGTTTTTAATATCAAAAACTGATCTCCCAGCTGCTCTAGGCAAACAATCCATTTCTAGTTTCACTCAAACTACCTTATTTCAGCAAATGAACTTATATTTTTAATAACTATTTAGCTATTGCTCTTATTAAACAATGAGAGTTTACCTTTGGATAAACACTTTTATCACCAAACTCTCAAAATAGGTACCTTCATGAAATACTAGGGCAAAATATATGATTTTATTATTTAATATACAAAAGCTTCCTCACTCAGTCTTCATTTCTCCTTCACTATACTTAATAATTCTAATTTATTTTGCAGGATGACTGTAAGGATTACAGCTAGCTAATGTCCATGAAGTGCTCAGAACATTTGAAATGCTTTATAAAGGTTAGAAAATGTTACCCATGCTTGTTCTGATAACATTTCAAAGTAAAATTTTCTTTCTAAGGAGCTTGTATCCTAACTACAGCCATTTCTGTTTCTTTTCCTGGATCTCTACTTCTACATTTATATTTGTAAAATTGTCCAACAGACTCTGGCACTATGAGGTTATATAAAGAGTCTCAAAATAAATTTAAAAATATCTTCTTATTTTGTGGCCCAGTCAAATGTGTTCTTAACTCATTAATATATTGTCACTGTCTTTTACAATTAATATTATTATGCACAAATAATCTCAAATGATTAAACTGGCAAATAACTAATTAGATTTGTAGTTGTAGTAAATCATCAAAATGAAATGATAGAGTATAGAATTAGTTTGTTCTGAATATAACATAATGGAATGTGGGAATGACTTTGGGGAAAGAGAGCAAGAGATGCCACCTCAGAAACAATCAAACAAGAGAGGAAGGATCCCCCCTCCCCCCAATGGCTTAAAAATCAAAAAAAGAAACTTGGGACAGATAGGCCCTAATGGATCCAGCAATTAAAAGCGGCAGCTGGAAATTTGTGCCTTCTGTTAAATGTAATCTTATAATAGAGTAGAGTTAATTCATCTAGGCCTATATTCTGTCCAGTTTATTTCTGAGGGCTGACAATAACTCAGATATATGGGATTCTTTTCTGTCAATTTTTAGTCATATTCCTTCAGATCGGGTAGACATTTACACAGTTTTCCAGCCTCCTATTGATATAACACTGCTGAAATTTGCCGGCCCATAAATATAATTTGAGTGGCATGATTTTTCCCATTCTACATTTAATCTTCTCACCAAAGTCTCAATGATTCCAAATAGACTTTTAAAATGTGGCCATTTTGCAGCCAAATTTTACTGACATAATTTTCAGCCTGTGGGAAAGTGTTTGGAGGGAAGAAATCTTAACTTCTTTGCTCCCCAGTGGTTTTCCACTCCCTTACTCAGCTTTACCAGCCCTATAATGAAAAATAGTCATGCCCCTTTCTTCCAGCTGACTGGAAGAGAAAATCGCAGCCTCTCAAGCCAAGATAATGTACTCATCCTACTACAGGGTAGTTTTCACCAATCAGGAATCTTCCAGATATTGTGCTCTAGAATATCCATCAGTTCCAACCAAAATCCTGGCCTAAGAAAATAGTTCATTTTAATCAGCCTTAAAAGAACTAAGCATTTTTAGCTTCAAACATCTACAAGTAGAGTGGACCCTGGAATCTTCTTTCCCTTCTCGCCTTATTGCCTTTCACTATTGTGGAAGAACAATATCAAATCAATTGTGTAGAAATCTTTACTAAGTTATATATAGATATATATTCCTGTACTTTGCCTCCACACTGCCTCCCAAGCACATTTTTTATGTGAAGGTTCTCTTCCAAAACAAGGCACGTTATTCCTTTTTTGCATTTAAACATATGCAATTTGTTTGATAACTTCCTGCATAATTATAGCCCACCCAACCTCTAAATAAGGTGTTCAGTTTGACAACATGTGTTTTCCAGAGCCTGAGAAGGCAAAACATTTATGAAAAACATTTTGAGGAAAGGAACACCATATAAAAAATAACTCTCCTGATTAAATTGCTCCATTCTGTCCTTTCCTTACATTCATTTCATTCAGATAATATACACTGAGGAAGTGGACACTAGGCGTGCATAATTCAGTATGTAAATGTACCTCTTTCACTAACCCATCAACGTGGGTTCCTTGTCAGACATTCAAATATATTTCAACTACAGAATAGAATAGAATAGAATAGAATAGAACAGAACAGAACAGAACAGAACAGAACAGAACAGAACAGAACAGAATAGAATAGAATAGAATAGAATAGAATAGAATAGAATAGAACAGAATAGAATTTTTTATTGGCCAAGTGTGATTGGACACACAAGGAATTTGTCTTGGTGCATATGCTCTCAGTGAATATAAAAGAAAAGATACATTCATCAAGAAACATAAGGCTGAATCATACTGTTAATCATACTGTTAATCATACTGTTAATCATACTGTTGAAATAGGTTCAAGAAACTTTATTTGTACCACTTTAGTGGTACAAAAGTGTGAAAAGTCAAGGCATAACTCATAACATCTAACTATTCTGAAATGCCTTATTCATTTTCACCTTTGACATATAACAGTGATGGCTAACCTTTTCCAGACCGAATGCCCAAAGCATGTGCACGTGAATACATGCGTGTGTTTCCAAACTCCCAAAATGCAATGAACGTGCAGCCCTTGCACATGCCCCACCCCTGCGCATGTGCACATGGCCCCCACATGCACCCCCCCACATGCGTACATGGCTCCCACATGTGTCCTGCCCGCCCATCCATGTGTGGCAGAAACCTGACAACCAGCTGGCTGGCGGGAGGCACATGCGTATGCGCAGCAGGGCTGAACTGGGGCGATGGCTCATGTGCCCACAGAGAGGGCGCTGCGTGCCACCTGTGGCACGCATGCCATAGGTTCACCATCACGGATTTATAATCCTTGTCTTATAGATACCAGAAAAAAACAGTAGGTAATCCTAAATCTTCATACATGCTAGCTCAGTAGTTATGGGAGTTGAAGTCCACATATCTTAAAGGTTGAAAAACTCCAGAGCTATGTGCCCTGAAAATTTCACTTAAGTGAATTTGTATAAAGCAAGATGCTGAACAAAAGTGGGTTGAGGGATATAGATCAAATTTTGTAACCCAAATGCATTGACAAATGTGCTCATACATTTTTAGAGCTTTTTTTCTGGTCACACTCCTATTGAATTATCTGTTTCTAAATGACTACAGTAGATAGATTTATTAGAGGATGATATTAGGGGAATCAATAAAAGGCTTTTTTTTAATTCTCATCTTAAATAAAAGATTGAGAAGAAAAATAATAAAAATTCAATACGGATTGATTTCCATTGATATCTCTATCAATGTTATTTAGTTGAAGCCCAATATATTTTCTCCTTTCCCTTCCAATGCATTTTCTCCAAGTTGTAAATCAGATATAAATTTTTAAGCATTTCCATTTTCAAAAGGAATGAAAAATTTTAGTGTTTGCAAAATAATTAAATTTGATGTATCATTCTTTTTATAACATTAAAATATCAAGCTTGGGCGAAACGCAATCACCAAACCGGTTGTTAAACCGGAAGGATCCTACCACTGTGTATATCCAAATGAAAATTCCCTCAAACTCACAGAAGAATTGCATAGTCAGACAATAAAAGCATTGATAGGCAATAAAGTAATAGTGCTTGATTGATTCTAATAACAGAGTCCTTGATTTATTATCACAATTGGCACCAAAATTTTCATTGCTTAAGAAAGGATGTTGCTAACTGACTCACACTCAATTTTGCCAACTTTTTGCCACTGTTGTTAAGTGAATCACTGCATTTATTAAGTAAATCATGAAGTCATTAAGTGAATCTGGCTACCCCATTGACTTTGCTTATCAGAAGCTGGCTGAAAGGATTGTGTGATGCCAGGATACTCCAATCATCATAAGTACATACTGACTGCCAAGTGCCTGAATTTTGTTCATGTGAACAAAATTGTGTTGAGGATCTGCAACAGTTGTAATTGCAAAGACTGGCTGTAAGTCCCTTTTTTTCAGTGCTATTGTAACTTGGAATGATCACTAAACATGGTTGTAAATCAAGGACTACCTGCATTTTAAATTTGTTGCTTTCCTAAATACTTTGAGGGTATTAAATATTACTGTGGAATAAAAAGAATCTCTCCAGGGGAAAGAGTCTCATATTAGAAAGTGAACAGCTGAACAAGAGCAGATTAAAGAACCATCCTCTTTCTAATCATCCTTCTGAAGATGCAGAAACAAAATGCTGTAAAAGCTCATGTACAGTCCTGTATTTTAATAAGCTTCTGTTTTTATCATAATCATCCCTATTAACATATCTCAGTGGCAGTATTCAAATTGCATCCCTCATTATTGTGATACAGGTTCTTTCACATACACATCACTAGTAAGTATATGCTTCAAAATGCCAGGTTAAAACAATATAACAACAACCTCAGAGAATCTGTTTTAGTGGATAAGAACAAAATCATTCCAGCCTACCAGATGAATATCTTCCTCTACCGTTGACAGTCAAAAGAGTTGTTCCCTTTATCTGTAACTCTCATATTTATTTTTCCCACCTGGCTGGCAATGCAGCTCTGTCATTCTTCTTTAGAATAGGTACCTTCGGTAGCTGGGCTACTCTGCATTTTCATAACCAGATAAAGGGGAAAGCTTCATCACACTATTGAATTTTCCATCTTTAAGGGAACTAAATAAATCATTTTCCTTTTGTCCTCCAACAGTATGAGTATTATTTTTCAGTTACTGGAACAAATCAAGATGTGCCTTCCAACTTATTCTCAGAGCAGAGAAAAGCAATTGGATGCATATCTCTAAGCAATCCATAATTCTCAAGGAGCCTTCAGACTTTTTAAAGTGTATTCCAACCATATCTGACAAATTTTCACCTCTCTATTTTGCAGGGATTTGTGCTTTAAGATCTTTACCTTTGATTTTTATTAATCTCTTCTTACATATTTAAATAAAATACATGAATTCCCAAAGAATACAAAAGGGAAAAGATTAGCGAAGTTGGGTGATCAAATATTAAGTAGGAAGGGTGTTTGGTAAATCTGAAGAATCAGATACCTACACTACCAAGTATAGCAGACAATTGGAAAAACCTGTGTGTAAAACATTCCATTTGCAAAATTCTAAATAGAAGTTTAATTCATTATGGACTATAAATACATCTCTAGCAATGGAGCCATTAGCACAAATATATTTCTTGCACAGGATTTCAAGTTAGGAGGAAAAAAAAATGTCAAAGGCTTCCAACTAAATACACCATGTGTTAAAGTAGAGATACTATAATAATTCAGTCTTTATAAGTTCCTATGCAAGAAAAATGTTTCCATTTTTCAGGTCAAAATTGGTTTATTTGGTTTATCCATCAG